TAGACAATTGAAGTGGTGCGTAAAATCATAAATGGAAGAAGAAACGTCCCTCCCAATTTTGCCACCCAGGAGATGTCCCATCCCTCTTGCTCACGATGCTCCTACACACACATCCAAGTGCATTCGATTATTTCATAGAAACAGACTCTTAGGAGACATGCTGCTTGCAACTCACTCTCCTTCACTTATATTATGTCACAGAGATTGTTCCAAGTAAAGAAATTTAGAGTAAGCTTTTATAGTGGTCGTTTCAGATTACGTTGTTGCATAAGATCACTGAGGATCAATTCTCTGCTGATAGTGAATGATTTAGACTTGGTGGGGCTAGAATAAATTGTGTCTTAGAAAAGGAGTTTTGGGCTATCATATGACCCTGCAATCCTGCTCCTAGGCATATATCCAGAGAAAAACATGATCTGAAAGAATACATGCACCCCAGTGTTCATTGCAGCACTGTTTACAATAGCCAAGACATGGAAGCAGCCTAAATGTCCACAGACAGAGGAATGGATAAAGAAGATGTGGTACATGTATACAGTGGAATATTAGCTGTAAAAATGAATGAAATAAAGCCATTTGCAGCAACATGGATGGACCTAGAGAGTGTCATACTGAGTGAAATAAATCAGACAGAAATATCGTATGACATCCCTTATATGTGGAATCTAAAAAGAAGTGAAACAAATGAACTTGCAAACAGAAACAAACACACAGACTTAGAGAATGAGCTTATGGTTGCCAGGAGAAAGGATGCGGTGGGGCCGGCAGGGGGTGTGGTTAGTTAGGGAGTTTGAGATGGACATGTATACACTGCTATATTTAACATGGATAAGCAGCAAGGTCCTATTGTATACAGCACAGGGAACTCTGCTCAGTGTTATGTGACAGCCTGGATGGGAGGGGAGTTTGGGGGAGAATGGATACATGTATAGGTATGGCTGAGTCTCTTCCCTGTTCACCTTAGACTATCACAACATTGTTTGTTAATTGACTATACCCCGATACAAATTAAAAAGTATAAATAGAAAAGAAAGGAAAAGGAGCTCTTTGCATGGATTCACTGGAGAGGGAGGAATCTGAAGGCAAATATGAAATGGTTCAGGTGAAAATATCAGGTCTTGAAGTCACAGCGGTAATGATATGAGTGACAGAGCTGTGTACCAATGCATGGCTTATAGTAACTCGGTCTGAACAAAAGCACCACAAGGTAAGCACTATGTTATTTCCATTTCCATTTCCAAGAAACTGAGACTGCTGCTGCTGCTAAGTCGCTTCAGTCGTGTCTGACTATCCGTAGAAGAGAGTAGCTTCCTTTTTTTATTGAAAGATAGTTGATTTTCAGTGTTTCAAGGGCACAGCAAACTGATTCAGTTATACATATATATATACTATTTTTCAGATGCTTTTCATTATAGGTTATTACAAGATGCTGAATGTAGTTCCCTGTGGTATACAGTACGTCCTTGTTTAATTTTTATATAGTATGGTGTATCTGTTAACCCCAAATCCCTAATTCATACCTCCCCACTGTCCCTGGGCTTCCCAGGTGACAGTAGTAGTAAAGAGCCACCTGCCTGTGCAGGAGGCTTAAGAGATGAGAGTTCGATCCCCGGGTCGAGAAGATCCCCTGGAGGAGGGCACGGCAGCCCACTCCAGGGTTCTTGCCTGGAGAATCCCACGGACGGAGGAGCCTGGTGGACCCTGGTCCATGGGGTCACAAAGAGTCAGACACAACTGAAGCAGCATGGCCCAGCACTTCTACTTACCTGTCTGTAGCTCTATACCTGTATAGATCGGTCTCTATATATCTATCTAGATGACTAGATCAGAGAGTCTTTACATCTGCTATGCAAATTCTCCCTAAATCAGTTAGAACGTCTTCCTGCTTCTGTCATTAAGTAAGTAAAAATCTTTGATATGTGTTCATCTTTAAAAAAAAAAAAAAGCTGGAGAAATAGTAATGAAGTTTCAAAAAACACAAAACTTTGTGGGGGTTAACTGGATAGTAGGAGATGGTGAGGAAATTATTTCAAAGGCTCTGTTTATGGGAGATGAGAGTGCAGTCTTTGCAGAGATCGAAGTCCCTAATGAGAACATTCCAGAACCACTTGAGAGGCCCAACGGCGATAAATCGTGGGGACTGGGCAGTACTCACCCTGAGGCTCCCAGGGAAATAAAGCCTGGAAGAGGAGGGATTCTGATAGCGAGCACAGCCGATTCTGAGACAGCCCTGGGTCAGAAGCTTGAGAAGCTCGGATGCAGTGCCTGCCTTTTTAAAGCACAGCCCGGGGAAAGTCAGGGAGTGAAGCTGACCATCAGAGGAGCTGACTGAAGGCCAGGGGCTGCAGCAGAGCAGGGTTTGGTCCTATTGTAGCATCTTTCTTTTCGGAAGCTCAAATGACTTTACCTGGGGAACTGCTCAACACTCCCTCTGACATCGTGTGTGGTTGCTGGCTCTTCTTCCGACACAGACTAAAGCCGTGACCTTCCACATGTACCCCATTCCCCAGGAACTCCCCTCCCCATGACCAGGCCAATTCTGGACCGGAGCCTCTGGTTTTAAGCAAAATGGATTCTAGGATACTAGTTCTTAGGGCATGTCTACCACAAGGAGAATTTTTGCTCACCCGTGGGTCCATTCCTGGGTCACTCTTGTCAGTTTGGGCAGCACCTGTAAAGGTGGTGGGAAGAGATGCCCGAGCGTCTGACACCCAGCACGTGGCGACAGCAACAGCGGGCATTCTACATCACTCACTTGACACCAGGCTCTCTGATCCTCTCTTCCTGTGGTTCAGTTTCATGCTCACAGTAATCCCATGGGGAGGCACTGTGACACCCCATTTGCAGGTCAGGGAAGGAAAGCCCAGTGAGATGAAGCAACTGGCCTGGAACCACAAGTGAGGGTTCCCCTGGCACCCCGGCCCTGGAGCCCACACACATGCCCACTGCCCATGTTCTCTCGAAGCAGAGCGGGGGGACATGGCTCCCTCCAAGCTTCACCCATGTCTAACCCACCTTATCCCCCCTCTCCAGATAAAGGTGCTGTTACTTCCTCCAAGCTTCGCCCATGTCTGACCCATCTTATCCCCCCTCTCCAGATAAAGGTGCTGTTACTCCCTCCAAGCTTCGCCCATGTCTGATCCATCTTATCCCCCCGCTCCAGATAAAGGTGCTGTTACTGGTTTCATTATTTAGTCACTAAGTCGTGCCTGACTCTTTACGACCCCATGGACTGGAGCCCACCAGGCTCCTCTGCCCGTGGAATTCTCCGGACAAGAATATTGGAGTGGGTTGCCATTTCCTCCTCCAGGGGATCTTCCTGACCCAGGGATCCAACTAGCATCTCTGCGTTGGCAGGTGGATTCTTTACCACTGAGCCACCAGGAACGCCCCAAGGTATTGAGCCCAGGCTGATTATAAGGCTCAGACAGAAAATGATGTGACTATCTGTCAGGAACTGGAGTGAGAATCCCACCCGTGGAGGAAAGTTAGAAACTTGATGCAGAGTTCCTCCTGTGAAATCAAGCACAACGGTCCTCCGCAGAGGGTTGAACTTGAGGGACCAGCTGACATATTGGCTTTCACCCATTAACAGTTCACAACAATAAACAGGTTCCAGTCAGCAATTCATCTGGGTCAAATGGCCTGTCACCTGCAGGCATCCTGGCTCTAGCCTTAATCTGGGGGTGTCATTTCTCACCCACTAACCCAGATGAAATGTCAACAGTGTAGAGGCAGGACCTCCATTGCCCAGGGTCATGGCAAGTGGGGTCTCAAAGCAGTTCCCCCAGCCCACCTCTTGGACCCTGCAGTCCTTCCCTCTCAGAGAGGCTGGCTTTATCTTCCAGATACAGGGTTGGTATGAGCTTTCACTGGAAGGAAGATTCCTCTACCCCAAAGAACATTCATTTAGAAAAGCAATTTTTAAAGGACTTTTTTTTCTTAAGTTCACTTTTGACTCATTTAAAAGACATTTTGGGGACTTCCCTGGTGGTCCAGTGGCTAAGACTCCACAGTCCCAAGGCCGGGGCCCTGGGTTCAATCCCTGGTTAGGGAACTAGATCCCACATGCCACAACTAAGACCCAGTGCAGCCAAATAAATAAATTAAGAATATTAAAAAATGAAATATATTTGGGAGTAGGAGAAATTCAACATTCCAGACACTAACATAGGGATTGGGGGTGGGGCAGTGAGCAAAACATGAAAATCCATGCCCTTTTAGGGCTTCTAGCACTTTCCTTTTTAAAAGATAGATTTTCAAGGAAATAACTGAGGTGTCTGAGTAGCATTTATAGAGAAAATTTTCCATGCAGAAAAAATGTTTAATGTGGCTAATTGATACCACCATCACGACCCCTAGATGGGACTTGCTGTACTTGAGAATTTATGCTATCATTAAAACAACCTAGTTGGAGGCAGGTGCTCTCGTCCCTCGTCCAGATGAGTGGCCGAGGCTTGGTGGTGTAACTTAGTGGCCTTGGTCACGTGGCTGATGGGAGCCAGCCTGGCTCCACCAGCCATGCCCTTGATGCAGGGGGAGAGAACCCTGGTCCGATGACTGAGGTTAGAACTGTGTCCACAACTCCCAGAAAGCTGGGTGGTGGTTTGTAATCGTTGTTCATCAAGGTGGATGTCAGAGACAACCTTCAGAATCTCAGGGCTCACGTGTGATTTAGTGGAGTTGCTAAACTTCCGGTCTAAGAACTCGTCCTGCCTTGATCCACAGGACTCAGTAACTAAGTTTCAGACCTCTGCCGGTGCTTCACGTCTGTAAACGATCAAAGAATGTGTTAATGAGATTTCCTGTGAAATGCAAAGGAATATAAACCCTCCCCCATCTTAGCAGAAGTGTAGGTGTGTAGCATTTAATTATTTGTTTATCTCTAAAGTGGCAGGATGTGGATGCCCTCTCTGTAACATGCTCAAGTTCTTCAGCTCTGCACAGACCCACAGACAGCGTTTGTTAATTGCTGTTTTCTTGTCCTTTTCCTTCTGCAGATGATCATTCCCGGGTGAGGCTGCAGACCGTAGAAGGAGACAACAACTCAGACTACATCAACGGAAATTATATTGATGTACGTATTCTGTGGCTCAGATGGTAAAGGATCCACCTGCAATGCAGGAAACCTGGGTTTGATCCCAGGTTGGGAAGATCCCCTGGAGATGGGAATGGCAACCCATTCTAGTATTCTTGCCTGGAGAATCCCATGTACAGAGAAGCCTGGTGGGCCACAGTCCATGGAGTCAAAAAGAGTCGGACACAACTGAGTGACTAACACGTATTCTGACCTGTCAGTAAACCCAGCTGTTCTGGCACATAGCATCCTGTGTATCTGCTCCAAGACAGGTGGACACAGGTTCGACCAAACGCAGCAGCCCTGTCCTAATCATGCAGAGCTTGACTGTGAGGACATGTCCACCTTGGGCTGATGAGCCTCCCCCACCAACCCCCATGACAGTCTCTGCCTTCTTGGCCACCCCATGCTTATGTGGACTAAGAAAATGGCATTTCCATTTTTGTCAACAACTTGGATTATTTGACACTTAAAGAAATCTGTTTGCATATTAATAGGACAAAACTCTCTAATTCCTCATTCGATGATTTGCCATCTCCTGTCATCACAGCACTTTTAAGTTGCCTTCAAAGTCGTCTGCAGCTGTTAACCAGGACTTCTGACACACGCAAGACGTGTCATTAAATATGTAGGCTGCTTAATTATTGAAGCCTGCTTCTTTGTTCATTCTGCATCATGTTAACTGAATGGCTTACATTAGAATAAATTCTTTGGGAGACAGCATGTTTTCACTTGAAAGAATGAATGAAATCGAAAGTAGACTGAAAATCAAGGGAACACTGCTGTTACCTCCAAGGCCCGAGTTTAGACTGAAGAGATCTCAGCTCCTGAGGCATTGTCCTCTGCGCTTGGACTTCATGCTGGTTCTTAATCCACAGGCATTTCTTTGCACAGGCTTTATTCAGATACGTGGGTTCCTTTCTTGTCTTTGTTGAGTATTACTAAGAATATTAGCATCACAATCTCTAAGAGTTATCTAAAAATAGCTCTTTGGAAAAGACCCTGATGCTGGGAAGAATTGAAGGCAGGAGAAGAAGGGAATGACAGAGGATAAGCTGATTGGATGGCATCACCGACTCGATGGACTTGAGCTAGTGGGAAATAGTGGATGACAGGGGAGACTGGTGTGCTGCAGTCAGTCCATGGGGTTGCAAAGAGTCCAACACAACTTAGCGACTGAACAACAACGACAATATACTACAGGATACTTGGGTAGTGCTCACTGGGAGGGTTTGGCATTGAGGGTTATAGAGTTGAAGGTGGGGGCTGATGGAGGGTTATTTGAAGAATAGTTCATATCTGTCTTCATACACCCCTAGACCCTCCTTTTGCTAATGACCAGAAACATACCCAACCCAAGGTAGAACATTTTATTAACTCAGAGTTTCCTCCTAAGGCACACTGACTTATTCCTTTGTTCAGGAAATGTTTAGGGAGAACTTGACAGGAATGCCCAGAGGTGTCTGAGACCTGTTACCTTCTCCCCGAGGCCTCACAACTTAGAAGCTGAAGTAAGAACCATCTTTGCTGTGGTGCTCCTTCCCTGGGGAGAGTCCAGGGGAGCCCTGTTCATACTGCAGTCCAGCCCTCCAGCCCTTGGGGTCCTTGAGCAGAGGGACAGTGTCTGGTCCTGCTGTATTCCGCCCCATCACAGGCTAGGATGCGGTAAGCCCTCAGCATCTTCTGAGTCACCATCTGAGCAGTAGCTGTGATCAGATTAGGCTTGTCCTGGGGGCCTTTTGAACTAAGCTTTAAAGAACAGCTGTGTAAGGCTTCAGGTGATCCAGTAGTGAGCCACAGCTACTGAAGCCTGCAAGCCCTAGATCGTGTGCTCCGCAACAAGAGAAGCCACCACAATGAGAAGCCCGCACATCACAACTAGAGAGGGCCCAAGTGCAGCAACAAAGACCCAGAGCAGCCAAAAAAAAAAAATGGCTGAGTAGGGACACAGAGAGGGGAGGACATAAAAGTCATGAACATACTAGATTCATTAGTTTTCGTTTTTAACAGAGAGTCAGTGTTCAGGGCCACTTTTCACTTAATCGGTGAGATTTTATTGAGCATCTATTACATGTCAGTAACTGTTTGAGTTGCTGGTGTTTTAATTGTGAACAATTCAGGCCAAAACAGAATACTAAGCACTGATATAAGGGACCTAATGGTCTAATGGAGAGAAAGAGACCATAAATGAAACGAGTCATGGTATATTGAAGTCTGGTATATTGGACAGTAGGAGGAATAAAGTGGCTGGAGTTGGCTCCACTGAGAAGATGGGGGTCTGGGCCAGGTGGGTATCTCAGGGGGGAGCCTCCAGGCTTAGAAGCAGCCCCAGGAAAGGCCTGGGTGAGGAACACGCCTGGCAGATGTGGAGGGGTCTGAAGGGGGTGGCGTCCAGGTGAGGGAGGTCATGGGCAGGTGCGTATGTGGTGGTGGTGAGTCGGGCTCTTCCTGTGAACCAGGAGGTCAGAGGGTCAGCACAGAGGAGTGACTGGATCTGGAAGTGAGAGGAGGGTGAACTGTGGGGTGGCGGGAGTCAAAGTTAGGATGGCTGATGGTGACCTGGCCCATCAAATGACCCTCACCTCTGCCAGCACCTTGCAGACCCACACAGACAGTGGTGAGTCCAGCCAGGTCCTGTCTCGTGGAGCTTATCGGCTGACAGGAAATGAAAGTGAAAGTGAAAGTGAAGTCGTGTCCAACTCTTTGCGACCCCCAAGGACAGTAGCCTGCACCAGGCTCCTCCATCCATGGGATTTGCTAGGCAAGAGTACTGGAGTGGGTTGCCATTTCCTTCAATAACCCTGCTTAGTATCTTGTGACTCCGTGTCAGACACCTGCTGCTGGTCAGGGTAGAGAAGAATGTGACTCCTTGGATTGTCTTTTAAGAGCAAAAAAATCTAAGTGGTCTGAGCAATTGGTATTTCCTCTCAAGGAAATAAATAAAGATATTTATTCTCTTTTCCAGCTGACTTTGGGCAATGTTTTGTGCCTTCTCAGGGGAGAGAAAGAGGAAGTGTTAAGGTCCGTGGCAATATTACACGTTCATGCACATGCTTAGTCGCTCAGTCGTGTCCAACTCTTTGTGACCCCATGAACTGTAGCCTACCAGGCTCCTCTGTCCATGGGATTTCCCAGGCAAGAGTACTGAAGTGGGTAGCCATTTCCTACTCCAGGATGGTATGTGTTACCTGTGTGTCATTTTCTCTAAGTTGACTTAACTTGCCCAGATATCAGTCCTGCAGTGTCCTTGTTCCCTTCTTGCTTTGGTCCCAGTTTTCATCTTTCCCCCTTCTTGTAGGGTCATGACTAAAGGAAGGGGTCTTGCAGAATTTCTGCTTCTTTAAATTCCTGGTCCTGCTACAGCATCATGTCTTGGTATCTGTAATGTTTAAAAATGATGTTTGTTATACCCACTCCAGTATTCTTTCCTGGAGAATCCCATGAACAGAGGAGCCTGGCCAGCGATAGTCCATGGCGTTGCAAAGAGTCGGACACAACTGAACGACTTAGCACAGCACACAGCACATTACTATTGATGTAACTGTCTATACCAATATAACAGAATATGAGTTAAAGCTTTGTCACATTGCCAATAACATCCCAAACACAAATGAAATTCTATTGCACATTCCTAGCCGGTTTGCACTCTAATCAGAGTCGTGGTCATGTTATTTCAGAAAATCCATACGTTGTTAGTGTTTATTCCTCATCCGTCATCTCTTAGCCTGTGTGTGATTAAGTTACTCACCCACTCCTCACCGTGCAGGCATCAGAACTGTTACACATTGATGCACCTTGGCTTATTAAGAGAAGCTCAGTGGTCCCGAGTCTGGTAATGTAACTTCCCAGTGATGCAGCTGTTGGTATTTGAAAGTGCATTCATTTTGGCAAACTTAGTATGTGACTTCTGTGCTGCTTATTGATTTTCAAGTTTGTCTAATATTCTTTCTCATTTATTTTTTAGGGTTATCATCGACCCAATCATTATATTGCTACACAAGGTAAGTTGATTCCAGCTTTGATGTCTTTTTTGGTTGTTTGCCCATTCTCTGTCATTTCATACCCAGCTAACCCTCCCCGGGAACTCTGTCACATGCTGCTGTAGCTCCGGGGACTAATTGCATTTCCAGCCATCAACACATGCACTCCTGGTTTCCCATCAGAGGTCCTGGTGATGTAATCATTCAGTTAGAACTTCATATTGAGATCAGTAGAGGAAATGTGTTCATCAATTAATTATTGAATTAACTCTGCCTGCCTTAGCAATTAATCTGACATTTGCAAGAATAGATGTATAGATATTCGTTGAAGAAATAGGTACTGTATATTCTGTGTATAAAGACCTGAACTGGTCACTGCTGGGGATGCAAGCCAAATCCAGTAGGTCCCCTTATTACATTGGTGTGAGTTAGTAGGGAAGACATGTTCACATGCTGTATACTTAAAACCTTGTGTGAAACCAACACGACGTTGTAAAGCAGTTATCTTCCAATTAAAAAGTTTTTAAAAGCCTAAAAGAAAAAAAAAATGCCAGTATCATGGGTCCTTTGTAAAAATTAAATAAGATAAATGACACCTATTTCAGTACTGTTATTATTATTATAATATTTATGTGGTTAATATAAAATATATGATTGGTATATGATTATAAATATAATTAATATATATTATAAAACACATGTTTATATTAATATATCAATATAGCATCAATATATTAAATCTATAAAGTTAATATCCATTAAATTTATATTTATATATAAATATAATATAATAAAAAGTATTATAATAAACATTAATATTATTATTTTTAAAACACCTTTTGTGAGAGGTACAGACAAGGTGTTAAGGAAATTCAGAAATTCAGACAAGAAAGAGGTCGCTTTCAGGTGGGATGGTTCAGAGGCAGCCTTGTGGCAGAGGTGCGCCTGGGCAGGGAAGGTGTGATTGGCAGAGGTATCACGAGCAACAATCTGCAAGCAGCAAGTCCGTGCTCCTGGGTAGAAGGCAGTTGGTGGCTCACCGTGGCTAAAGGAAATGGAAGGCCAGAGGAATGTGTCAAGGAAGCTCAAGCACAGTTGATGCAGAGTGCTGTGGTAATTTCTGCTGTACATCACATTTACGTGGCGTGGTTTCGGTACCGTCTTCCCCACCAGTGATGGGGCAGGTCATCTGTGGAGAGTGAGGATCATGGGAGACTGAGCTTTTCAGGAAGAGGTGTCATCATGGTCAGGTTGCTGAGTCAGCACAAGGTGAAGAGCGGAAGTGCTGGGAAACAGAGACACCCTCTCAGGGGATGAGTGAAGAGTGAGTTCTCTGTGTTGTATTACTTCATCATTGTTTCGGTGACACATCATATCCCAGAAACAGACGTGGGGAAACCAAACAGATGCAGTCTGCCGCTAGTTAGGGGTTGGCAGGGGGATGCCTGAGAAAAAGTCAAGGATACCAAGAAATCATGGGTGTAAAGTCTCAAGTTGGAGGCAGGGAGGCCAGAGTGTCCACTGGGCCCTGAGGAACAGGAAGGCACTGAAGGATTGAGGCCAAGGTCGGTGGTGAGTCAGGAGGTAGAGCAGGTGGTCATAGCCAGAGACCAGAGTCCAGCACCTAGAGCAGTGGTGTCTGGCAGAGCTTTCTGCTCTGGTGGAAATATTCTCTGTGTCATCTGATATGGTTACCACTAGTCATCCATGGTCACTGATACTCAGAGTGTATCTACTGCAAAGAGTGGATTTCAAGTTTAAACAGCTGCATTTGGCTCTTCCCCATTGGAGGTGTCAGGCAACAGAGCACTGGGGCAGACAATCTCTGGGTGTGGCCAGAATTATCCTCCTGATCCCCACGGCCACAGCAAAATCCTGGGGGGCACGACTCTCAGAGTCCAGTGTTGTGTCATCACGTCCAGATGCTGCACTTGGATCCAGGGTGCATCCTTCCCTGGAATAAAAGCAGCAGTGCCTCCCTCCAAGGTCACTTTGTTGTCAGAAGGAGCACCACATGGACAGTGCCCACTGTGAGCCTGGCAGAAGCCCGGCCCTTGGTAGGAAATGCTAAGAGCTCAAGAAAGCACACACTTGGTTTGTCTCACATCTGGGACAGAGCGAGGACATCTGAACCCGAGTCCAGCCCTGGGAGCTTCCAAGCAGAGCGGACTGATACTGGGGCTTCACACCTGTCCTCTAGGCTATGAGAATGTTCCCGAGTCAGGTCATAACAGCTCTGGTTTATACATGGGATGATTATCGGACATTTGCAGTTTTTACAAATTTACGTGAACATTTTGTTGCAAAATATACAAAACACTCCTTAGTTCTTGTCGAGCAGCCCACGTTCTTGTAGAAAGTATAACCAGAAAATTAAATCTGATTTAAATGTCCACAGTTGAGGGCTATAGATTCGTGTGACCAAATAGCCAATGGAAGTACAGATTGAAGACCCCAAGGTCCTACTTGGGGCCCCTCCCTCATACATCCTCTCTGTCCCTCTGTCCCCAAGGGAGGTCACCCCTGGAAGAAAAAGATGCCATAACAGCAGTCACTTTCTGGCCCCGTTAGAAGTAGTTTAAGTGATGCTTATTTGCTCTGCGGCCATCGTTGGCAGCCGTCACCCTATCAAGTATTAATGAACAGATATATTTGCAGACAGATGAGAAATGGCAGATGTCCTCAGTTTGAAGGAGACCACCACGGTGCCCTTTAGCAAAGAAGGGCCCCCCCCCCACCCTACAGAGCGTGGCCCTTTCCTTGGTGACTGGTGGGCCACAGCCTGGACTTTAAAACCTGGCAGTCCTTGCATCACTGTTGCTGGTGCAGGAAGAGGAGGAAATGAGCCGATTTTTAATCTAACATTCAGTCCAGACAGTGCCCATCCTGTTACAAGTAATACCTTCAGACCAAGATGTTTGGATTAAAAAGTCAGAAGGTCTTTTCTCCAGTGCACCACAGGCACAGTCTAACTGGTGGCCTCGGGTAGCCAGTGATAAAGATTTCTGCTCAAAAAAAAAAAAAAAGATTTCTGCTCATCTGCAGTAATCGACCGGGACAAGATGGAACATGTTTGTGGGTGGCCAACAGAATCACGAACAGCCTGATTCTAAATCCAACAAATGGAGTGATGAAGACTAACAGGCAGATGCCATGTTTAAATCCCTCCTTGCTCTTTTTGCCTCTCTACTTTGCACTGAGACGAGTCTTTAAAATCTGTTCACAGCAGGAACCCCTGAAACTACATGAATGGTCCATTTTCCTGACAACCAGTTCTATCCCCAAGAGTTGGAAATACATAGATTCCTAGCAAGTCCCCTCAATGCAGAGGACGTGTCATGACCGTACCCCTTCAGCCTCTCCCCCTCCCTCCACTTTATTGATTTTTCTACGAATAACTGACTCTGACCTTTGGTGATAACGGTAATGTTTCTGCGGATTGAAGGGACCACATTCAAGCCAGAGTGGTGCCTTTTTTGAGTGTGTTCTTCCCATCTCCCTGCCCTTTAATTGTTCTCCATCTGGCAGCTAATATATTGATGCCCCGATGTTCACTGCATCACATGTGCCTGGCCAGCTATTAATACAGTTGTAAACTTAGGAGTAAGGACCTGGCACACAGGGGTCAAAGGACAGAAACTCATGTTTGTAGCCGCCTATCCACACTCAGAGCTGGGGCAGAGCTGGGGGTTCAAAAGCTGGCTCACAGAGAGGCAGTATCCACTAAGGTGGGTGGAGTCACCCAGAATGGATCATAATCAATCAGAAGATGCACCGAAGAGACCACTGAAGAGACCATCACGTGGGCCATGAGCCGGAGGTTCTGTGCACATCAGAACCGCTCCTCCACGGCCATTCGAGAGCTCGGGGTCATGGAGAAAGGAACGGGAAAGGGTTAGTCACTCAGTTGTGTCCAACTCTTCGTGACCCCACAGGCTGTAGCCCACCAGGCTCCTCTGTCCTTGGGATTCTCCAGGTAAGAATACTGGAGTGGGTAGCCTTTCCTCCTCCAGGGGATCTTCCCGACCCAGTGATCAAACCTGGGCCTCGCACATTACAGGCAGGTTCCTCACCGTCTGAGCCACCTGGAGAAAGGTTCTCTTTACTATTATTTAGGTTTATTTTTCAAACTGACTCAAGGGTCCTGCTTCAGAGAACTCAGGAAAGGCAGTACGAGGTAGTTACGGAAAAAATGGCTGTAAGTCTGTGGTGGACACGGCTGCGCCCTCCCTCTGACTCACGTCCAGGTTCCTCTGTGGGCTGGAGACACATGGGAACACGGGGGGGATCCTACCCAGAGGATCCCCCCGCATCACAAAATCTGGGGTTCACGTTGCAGTTTAGGGGTGGGGCACCTGCACTTGGCCGGGGTCTCAGAGGAATGGTACAGGTGGGTGGGTAGGCAGGTGTTAATCCTAAGGGTAGGCCGAGTGGGAGGACACCCGAGATCCAGGAACAGTGGGGGGCCCGAAGGAGACTGCTGAGAGGGGCCCGGGGGTCTTAGTTGCTGATTGAAATGGATCATCACTCAGGAAAAGTTCACACAGACACACAGTTTTACATGGATGTTTAGGCATGCTCTGACTTTCTACAGTCCAGCTTGAAAAAAATCTATGCCCCCCAGATTAAAACCCTGGAATTGTCGGGGGAGGTCTAAGAGCAAAGAACCGACAGGTAAAGTGAGGACACTGATTAAAAGGCTTTGAACAAGGACCCTTGTTTACTGAACGGCAGAGAGGCAGGGAGGGAAAAGGAAGGGTGTTTCTAAGCTGTGTGGTGGTGAGAACAGTGCTTTAAGAAGATGAGTTAGTGTGGAGTCATCCTGGAAAAAAAAACCTGGAAATAAAGATAGCAAGGAGTAACCACAAGAAAATTTGGGGTAGAGGTGAATAGTTCAGACAACAGTAATGACAGGAATACAGCTGTAGTTTTTATTTTATTCAACGATCCAGGTTGCATATGACTAAAATATGTTTTCTAATATTAAATACATTATGTTCTAGTTTCAAAACTGTTCATTC